TGTCCGACAATGAAAATCCGTTGTATTGTAAAATTCGTTATATCAAAATTCGTTGTAGAAAGAGTTGACTGTATATTGTTAAGAATTCTTTTTATTATAGGATACACCCTTATTAATTTGTTTGTACAACTCATTTGATTATAAATATTTGTTTAGACTTGTTATTCAAAATTTCAAAATACATCAGAGGATATTAAAAAAAGATTTGTTATACAGAAATGATTGTTATAAGGAAAAAAAAAAAAAGTATCTATTCGATACTATAAAACGACGAACGAAAAAATTTAAGTATCATAAAACGAATGAGAAATGGTTAAAATAAAATAGATTATATATGATTCGTTAATAAATTGTTAAAGAATGTTAAAGAAATTAATAGTGTACGAAATTTGTTAAAATTATAATCCCAATAGATTACCGAAATCTTTTGGAAAATTACGTATTTTGCTGTACAAGAAAGAGAGAAAAAATTTTAAACAAATTTGTTAGAGTTAAAAGTGCGAAATTAAAAATTTGAACTCTGTCCCTATACATAATAAATAGGATGTAATCTTTAATATTTACATTTAATAATACGTAAAAGTAAATTTTAATGTCCCGCACACACTAAAGAAAAAAAAATATATAACCCAAATAAAATAAAAAAAATGAAAATAAAATAAAATAAAAGATGAAATAAGAAATTCGAAATAAACGTCACGCGAAAGTTTTAAAAAGTTTTGATATACCGAATCGAAATCTATCATTTAAAATTTAAAATATATGCAGTTAAAAAAATTTTATAAGGAAATCAATGTCTAAATAAAATGAAAATGGAGATGACCATTGGTCAAAGAAAAAAGGAAATGGATAAATTGAAAGATAGTTATTTAGTGATCAACCAATCGATTTGATATTATCAATAGCCGCTTTTGATTGAATTACTGAATCATTCGCTATTGGTTCAATCTTAGATTCAATTTCATTTGATAACCCCTGAAATGTGGTAGAACTAATGACTTCAACAACCATTGTTTCAATTTCTTCTTGTTTTTGACTATCTTCTGATTCAACGGTAGTAATTATTTTTGTAACATCTTCAATCACGATCTCTTTATTCATCCTACTCCTGTTAAAAAACACTTCAGGACTCGTACAAGCTCCTAATGCTCTCCTCATATGATGTGTGAGGTAAGACAGCCCAACTTGATATGAGGCATTCATCCAACCGAAACCTTCGCGAGGTACAAATTTGAAATCCACGCCAACATTGCCGTATTCCACTTTAAGTAAATGATTTAAGGTGACAACATCGTATTTTTCAGGTACTACTCCATTGTAATCAACAAAAGATTTCGTTATAGTATAAAGCCAACGATAAGCTAATCGGCGTGCTTCTGTCATATATCCATAATTCTCAAGTCCACGCCATGCCATAATTTGATGTGGTGCCCATCCGAATGGATAATCCCATTGTCGATTTGGACGGTCAAGTGCAATTGTTCCACGAGAATCTTCTGTCCCACTGACAAGCCCACCAAGAACTTCAAATTTAGGAAGAGATATTTTTCTATAATGATTAAACAAGTAATTAATTATCATGTTTTTTAATCAATAATTAATATATTTTTTATATCTGCATACATACACCAATTTTTCAGCCTGCTCTGAACTGGCACAACCAGCCCAAAGTGCCCAAAGAGCGGTAACAGATTCATAAACAGATTGTTCACGTTTAACAGTGTCATAGTCATAATAAAGACTTTTTTCTTCATTCCATAAGTATTTGTCAATTCTCTCTTGGCGCAGCGTCGCTCTGTCAAACCAAGCAGCACTTGTCTCAACAATTCCATCATCTAATTCGAATCGATCATCATAGATTGTTCTGATAACTTGACCGATATCAAGTTCATACTTATAAAGCAAACTATTAAGATCAATAGTAGCAAGGTGCGCGCACCTTTTTTCAAACCGATAAGTAGTATCATGACCAGATTCGCGAACTGCACGATCATGTAAGAAGTATTCATCTAAATTAGGTTCATGAATTTCTTGGCTTTGATATTTCGATACATATTCTTTAATAGAAAGTCCTAGATTTTTTGCATATGGTAAAATAACATGATCAAAATGGCTCGCTTCATTTTCCGGTGGAATACCAAGTCCAGTTGGATAAAATCTACTGAGTCCAGTTATAGGATCGTACCGTGGAAGGCTCATCCATACTGTATGATATTCCTTAATTGCAGCACGAATTGCAGATGCAAGCCATGTTTTCTTTTCTTCCGTTTCATCGGTTAAACGTTCATAAACTTTGATAGCCATATCAGTAAGGAAAGGTGGCTGGGATCGTGTGAGATAATAACTTCTATTTGCATTCAATATTTTACCATAATGTGTTATCTCATAAACAAAATTATCTACCATGCCCTTTGCCATTTCTATTCTTCCGTCTACAGCCAATCCCAAAGTTTCAAAATAAGAGTCCCAACCATACATTTCATTAAAACGACCTCCAGGAACAATGAATGGTACACCTTTTAAGGTAACATTTCCTTGATTATCAGCATGTTTTTGCATGGCCAAAGCAAGAATGCCAGGTCGGTCATTGATACTTTTGACGTATTCTGGAGTAATTTCTTTTGGAAGTGTTTCAACTTCTAAATTCAAATGTGGTCGTGTTTCAGCTACATTGTTGTAATACTGAAGTTGTTCATCCTCACCAAAAGGAATGTAAATACGCGGTGAATGATCGGCAGTTCTATTTTTAGGATCAGCGCAGATAATTTCCAATCCATCGGCATCAATTCTTCTTGTCAATCCATCCCAAAAATTATGTTGAATCATACGACTTAAACGGTCAACAGGGTTTTCATTCAAGCGAGCCTCATCTAAAACTATATGTTTACGTCCATGATCCTCTGCCAAAGCCAACTCTTGCAAAAGATTACTGAGCATATAAGTGCCCCTGATCTCAAACTTTCGATGTCCACCTGAATCAGCAGTACCAACACTTAAAGACTTAGGGCCCATATCGTCAATAGTGATTTGGAAATCACCATTGGTATCTTCCTGCTCTAATATTAAACGTTTGGTTTCTTCTACATCTATCAAAAATTTACGTGGTTTTGTCATCTCATCTATAAGTAAAATAAATTTAAAAAATTTATAAATCAAATATCTATTATAAAATCAATAATTACAATAATTAAAAATAATTATGATAATAAGACGAAAATAAAAAAAAACACGATGGTTTTTTGAAAATGTGAAATATAATAAAGATATGATCTTTATAAGAAATCAATCTCAATACAGAAAGAACCGAATATCTTGATATATCAAGATGATCAGCTTTTTTTTTAAATAAATTTACAGTTATATAGTGAATTCGCTAAAGTGATTTTTTGAATTTGACAGAAGAGGATTCTATCGGTAATGCCAAATGTCTCTTTTAAAGCTAATAATGAATGAAAGAATAGAAAAATTTACATACCATGTGAAGCTCTTCTTTTGCGAATATGTCCTGCTTTTCCCTGAATACTTTTTGACATCTAAAAAAAAAAAAATCCACGTTTTAGCTAAAAGGTAAAACCCAATAACTTTTTTTTTTTTAAAAAAAAAGCAAGTATAAATAAAATAAATATAATCGCTAATAACTAACCACAAAACTTCTAACACGATTAACATTTAATTGATTAAAACTATTACCACCAGTACTATAATAGGTCTGTGAATCAGCGTAAATATTAGCTTCTGTGTCTGTCATTTCTAATTACTAAAAATTTAAAAATATTCGATATTTTTTTTTTGAAAAAATGGTCAAGAGAAAAAAAAGATAGTCTAAAAAAGATTGAAAAATGTTGGTGATAATTATTTATCAGAGAACCAATAGTAAAATTTAATGATGCAAGAATTATATATATATATATATATATTATATTTTTTGATTTTTTTTTTTTTTTTTTTGTATTTTCAGATGTTTTTAAATTTGTTTTAAAAGAAAAAGAGAAATCAATAATTAAATTAAATGAATCAATAATATATACGATTTTTTAAATGGGGTGGCGGTGACAGATTTTTGTCTAACCCAAATTATAGGAAGTTGATCGTTGAAATTTAATGAACGTAATATAAATAATGTAAATAAATGCATTATATAATGATTCTCAAATGGATGATGATCCGACTAGTTTGAAGATTCGGTCATCATTTCGTAGTAAGAAAAAATTTTTAAAAAAGTATATATATAAATATTATTATTATTAATTATTATTCTTTTTCTATTTTTCAGGAATGAGTAAAAGTATTTTAGCTTAATTTAGCTTAAATCTGTAGTAGGAAAATCGGAATATTGGGAGTAAAAGAGGAGAGGAAATGAATATTAGAAAGGGGAAACGGAAATTAATGTAAGGAATTTTAAAATAATTTTATAATTGTTAAAGAAAGGAATAGAATTTAAAGATTAAAGCCCTCAATTATCTAAAAAAGAAATAGATGGAATAATTAAATTAATTAGGATAAAAGAAGGCTTTTCTCTTTTTTCTCAGTTGGAAGGAATTGGGGGACGGAAAAAGAAGAGATGTTGAGAGAGAACGACTACAACAAGCTCAACTCGAGGTAAAGAAATTTTCAACGAACGAATGGGGAACTATTTATAAACCAAAAAAATGATGAGTTAACCCTTATAAGGAATTGCGTAACCATTGATTGATCTTGAATTTTGATCAATACCGATTTGTTTTACACTTGAACCTTAATTTTATATATTATATATTTTATTATTTATATTGTAATGTTTGTTTTTAAAAATCGTCATAGAATTGCTTGCTTTTTTTATGATACCTTATTTGTTTACGTATTGTAAAGCAAATAAATAATTACAATTACTAAATAAAGACGAGAAATCGAAAATAAAAAGAACATTATGATAACATAATTTTTCGCTGTTCGTATCACAAATATATTTGATTCTTTGTTTATTATGCGTAAAGTGCCTAGATGCTTCTATGTCAATGTCCGTAAAAAAAAAAAAAAAAAAAAAAAATATTACACCAAAATAAAAGTACAAAGATTTTCTTAATGCACGAAATGAAAAAGTTGACTCAACGTTTTTTTTACAACTCCGGAGCATAATTTCATCTGATTCTCCAGGGAACTACATTTATTTTCGCATATAGTATGCATAGTGTCACATTTTAATTTCAATTATCTCGGTTTAGTTCTCTCTCCTTTTTTTTTTTTTTTTTTACCTAAAACGTCCTTTGAAACCATGAGCGTTTCACGAATTTAATTGTCGAGAAATCACTGAAAATTTAAGGCAATCTTCAAATGAAAATATGTAAAACAAAATTTGATTTCTTGATCCATTAATTTCAATATATTTTTTTTTATATGCGGGATAACGTACGAACCGTTTCCCCCTTTTTCCATGCATCAAAATTTTCTCTTTGGAAGACTTTCGACTCTTAAATATTTCAAGACCGTGGAATTACTCAAATTAATATAAAGCAGTAACCATGTTCTATGTTTAAGTAGGTTAAGAGGCCGTGCTTCCAAAATTTCCATAAAAAGTTGACCCATGAATGGAAAGTGGTTTGATTTTACTAATCGGAAAAGGCGTTGCTTTCATAAGTTGTTGTGACCGAGTAAAAAAAAATTTTAAAGTTATATATTGTTCAATATGAGTATGGAAATTGGTGTAACTAAGTTCAGTGATTTAGCATTTAATTTATCAGTTATGTAAGTTCGAAGGTTCAACCTGGGTACTACGACCTTTCCCCATTAATGAAAGTTTACAATAAACAAAGAAATAATTTTTTTTTTTTGGTAATTATGCAAAGATTTTTTTTTTCTTCTTTTTTTTTTTCTCCTTTTTTTTTTTTCTTTTTTTCTTTTTTTTTTTTAAAAAAAAAAATAGGAATTGCATTACTATTTGATATTCCTTTTGCCATTGTGGACCCTTCACCTTCCAGTCTTCAATAATTTTAATTTAGGAAACACGCGAAGATGTGAGAAACTTTAGAAGAATCTTAAAATGACAAAGAACAACCGAAAATAATCAAGTAATTCTTATAAGGATAAGGCCATGAAAATCTTTAAAAATATATATATATAGATATTTATAAATAAACTTGTTTTCTTTTGATTGGAGGTTTAAACAATGCAAAGAAGATGAGACGCGTCAAAAAAAAAAAAAAAAGAGAGAGAGAAAAATAAAAAAATTGATAAAACTTGTTTCTTTTGTTTGTTTTAATAAATGTTGGGTAACTTTCTATAATTTGTTGATGATAAACCTTGAATCCTGTCAAAGGACATACAACTTGCATAAACAGGTCAAATAAGTTACGGATTTAGAAAAATACAAAATTGACATGAATTATATTGTTCATGTAATTATTCTTCATTTATAAATGAAGACAAAATAAGCTTTTATTTATTTTTTTTTTTTAGATAAACGATAACAAAAATATTGTTCTTTACATATAATTAAATTTCAATCTGTGATTAAAAATCTATTATTATCATTATATTGTATTAGTTTCACATGAAAAAAAATTTTTTTTTTTTTGATCTTGATCTTTTATCAGTTTATAAGATTTAGTAAAACCATGTTGATATTAATTAATTTTAATTAATTTTGTTTGTTACAGTACATATTATGTTTTCAAACTATAAAAAAAAAAAATTTAACTTGTAAACATGTTTCACAAGATATAAATACTTATTTCATCATTTAAATAATTCACAAGATTCTTCTTTCATCTACAAATTAATAGAAATATGTCCACATCCCATTCAAGGAAATCCTGCGATATAACATCGACAAGTTTCTCCGAGGATTCAAAATCTTCACCTAGTTTACCGACGCGACGACCTAGAACTTCGACTTCCACACGTGTCTGCGGACGCGATAATCATTCATACATGGTTGCTGTAATTGAGGGTAGAGGTAACGTCAAAAAAAGTAACATTTTGGGTTAATATATTTAGATAGATATTATATACTGTTTAAACCACAATAGGCGTGGCTAGCGAAATTGGAATGTGCTTTATCGATTTAAGAACAAGCGAATGTATTTTATCACAGGTATGGTTTATCGTTAAGAAATCTACGCAAAATTATCTAAACCTAATTCTTTCTATTGTTGTCAAGTTCGCTGATTCTCAAACGTACATAAAGACGCTACACAAATTAAATTTATATGATCCGTCTGAGGTACATTATATATTGTAATCGCGTTCGTATAATTCTTTCCTAATGAATAAATGTCTCTTTTGAAGATCGTGTTATCTCAAACTGCTTTTGAACCTTCCAAATCCAAGTTGTGCAAGGTTCTTGAGGACAATATTCCAATGGCTAGCTTCGTACCAATTGGAAGAAAATATTTTAATGATGCGATTGGTACGCTTTATTTCTTATATTTATAAATACGATTAATTAAAATTTCATCAATTCTTTCGTTGTTCACTTAAATAGGACTTAATTACATCAAACAAGCAAGTGAAATGAATGTTAACATTTTTTTGATAATTACATCAAAAATCATTAATTTAAGAAATTCCTTTTTAGTATGGTTTAGAAGATGAATCTACTTCATTGATATTGGGCATTGCATCAAAGCACCTATTCTTAAATCCGTTTTGTAACACTTTTTTTTTTTTTTTTACAAGGTCTTGCTAATAAAAAAATATATATAATTGTTATGTAGATTTTTTTGTTTAGCGGCAACCGCTGCGATATTAAAGTAAGAATTAAAAATTTTAATGTAAAGAATTTCTCATTTTAATTAGTAATGATTTTATTTTATTCATTTAGGTATATTGAATCTACCCAGAATATTTTCTTTACCAACCATTCTATCAAATTCAAGTATCAAGGGTGTGAAGGTAAAGAATCCTTTATTGCACATGTAAATGGTGATCCTTTTAAAATTTGATCATTCTTAACGTTATTGAATATAGGAACGATGATGATAGGTATCATATGCAATGTTATGTTCGTCAAAGTCTTTTGGTCAAAATTCAATTATTTTTTTTTTATTTAGACAGTATGACTTCACGTAACCTTGAGTTGATAAGCAATATAAACAATCCACGTAGCAATCATTCACTTTTCGGTATAAAAATTGAACTTTTTTACTTATTATATGACTAACTGGAATCTATAATCGATGTTAAAGACTATTTCCATCTTTCAGGTGTCCTAAATTGCACGTGTACGTCCATGGGAGGCGAGTATAGAACATAAATGAACATTATGCAGTATATTTATTCATTGAAGTTGGTCGTTTATACCGTTTAGCTCGTTTATTGAGAACAAATATTCTGCAGCCTTTAAGCGGTTTGTAAATTTGTATGATAATAATAGCGTTGATAATTTCACGTGCTAATCTTTCATCCATTTAGATATCATGACGATTAATATGCGATTGGATGCTGTTGAAGGTTTTCATTTCCGTTGCATGAACATTTCTTATGGAGAAACTCCAACTTATAACTCTTATTTACTTTGTACAGAGCTTATACGTCACGAGGCATGTGATATTGTTCACTGTTAATGATCAAGCATGATAATGTACAACAACTTTTCTTTCTTACAATAGGATACTTTCTTCGCGATTCAAACTGGTAATGGTTAATTGGAATCTGAAAACGTTTGTAATTTCAAATTAATGAATTTTTTTACAATCTGGTTATAGCGCTTAAGCCATTTCAAGACATTGATCATTTAATAACTGCGGTAATAGTGTCTTTGCATGTGATTCACATATAACCATATAATTCAAACATTTACTTTATTCAGTTGATTCAAGTTCCAAAGAGGCCTTCGATTAAATATGCAGAACAAAGCATCAATAACGTGATTATGTTAAAGCATAACCTGAGATTAATTCAATTACTTAAAGAATCATTTACTGGCATTCAGAATTCATTATTGGATGCGATTTATGAAGTATAAATTATTTTATTGGTCCTTGGACATTCTTTGATTCGTGTTAAAATTGTTTATAAACTTATGATTAGCTTCTTACGGACACACGGCTGGATGCTTTTGAAGAGCTTATTAATGATGTTATCAATGAAGATATTACGTATGTCAAAACACCACTTGCACTTAGAAATCAGCGATGTTATGCTGTTAAGGTGGTTAAAAAAAAGAAATAAATAAAATAAAAATCTAAAACGAATTGAAAATTAATTTTTTTTTTATTAACATTTTCAGGCAGGGTTTAATGGTTTATTGGATGTTGCTCGACAAACTTACAAAGAAACTGTTGATGATTTAAATGAAATAATAGCAACATACCGCGGTTAGTATTTAATGTTTTTTTAATTAATTATTGGTTACAGATTATTTATCTTATTAAGTATTTTAGACCAATATCAAATACCTATAAAGACACAATTCAGTTCAGCGATTGGATTTTATTTATCAATAAATAATGAACAATTAGAAGGCAGACCACTTCCACTTATATTTATTACCATTAAAAAGAAAAAAAAGGGTCAGACCTTTACGACATTGGAAATCATGAAAAAGAATACCAAGATCAATGACTCGTTAACTGAAGTATATTTGATGTCTGACAAGTATGCTATTCTATAATCTCTCCTTTAAGAGAAATTAAGTTGTTAGCTCAGAGATTAACCATTTTTCGTAGAATTATTGAGGACTTGATTTCAGAAATTCGTGGTGATATTGGTGTACTATACAAGGCTTCGGAATCCATCGCGATGTTGGATATGCTAATTTCATTTGTTCATCAATGCACTGTGTCGAACTATGGTACATTTATTATATATTCTTGATCAAAGGTTTAACGAATTATGCAATTCATTAACGAATAATAATTAGTTCGACCAGAATTCACGGATACTTTGGCCATAAAGGCTGGAAGACATCCAATGCGAGAAAGTCTATATAATGATACATTTGTACCTAACGATACTTATGCAAGCAGTGCAACAAGCTTTCAATTAATTACCGGACCGAACATGAGTGGAAAAAGCACTTACCTGAGGCAAATTGCCTTAATGAGTATTATGTCTCAAATAGGATCATAGTAATATTAAATATATTATATGTAGATTGTTAATGATAAATGAAAAGCAATTTAAACATTTAATCATTATATAGTGTGCCTGCGGAATATGCATCCTTTAGAGTTGCAGACCAGGTATGGAATATTAAAGTTTATAATATTCTTTATTTTTTTACAAGTGCATTAAATATTTTTTAATAATAGCTCTTTACGCGAATTTGTAACGATGATAATATTGAAAATAATACCAGTACATTTGTAATTGAAATGCGTGAAACAGCATATATTTTACAAAATGTAACTGATGATAGTTTAGTGATTATCGACGAACTTGGAAGAGGTTAATTATATTTTTTTGAATAACTTGGTTTAATGAAACGAATAAATTCTTTTCACCTTAAAATTTTTTGAAAAAAAAAATGAATGTAAAGGAACGTCTACACATGATGGATTGGGTATAACATACGCAATTTGTGAAGAACTTTTAAAGACAAAGGTAGTAACGAATGATAAACAATTTATGAAATACCTATTATTGATTCCATTATTTATACGCCTTTGAAGGCTTTTATTTTCTTCGCCACACATTTTCATGAACTTACAAGAAGTTTAACTGTGTATCCCAAAGTTGTGAATTTGCATTTGGAAGTTGAAGTAAGTCAATATATACATTTTTTAAAATTCTTTTATATTCATTGATAATTTGATTATTTTATTAGATTAATGAAGATAATAGATTATTAGCGATGAAATATCTGTATCGAGTTAAAGATGGAAGAAACGAGGATGAACATTATGGTAGATTTGTAAAAGTGCTTACAAAATAACCGATAAGTTAACAAAAATTTGGGCACATTTTAATTCTATAGGTTTAAAGTTTGGACAAATAATTGGTTTTCCACAAGAAGTTATTAGAAAGGCTTCTGAAGTTTCACATAAGGTTGATAAAGAAGAACATTATACTTTATTTTCAATTTTAACAATCATTATGGGATTTTTAGTTGCAAGAACTTATCGATACCAATAAAGAAAAATCGACTTCAAATAAAATAATCCAACGACGAAAGATATTATTACAAGTAATGTTTCAATTTAACCAATTGTTGGTAACCTCCATAATATTATACTCATTTTATTGTTCAAGCAGTTGGTGCAACATCTCTTACAAATCAAAAGATCCTCTAATTTGGACAAGGATAGCTTAAAAAAATACCTAAAGATGGTTCAAGAAGAATTTATTGCAAAGATGGAAGAATTGCTTTAACTTATTAAAACTTTAAACTATATAACCCTTTATACTATTTATAATTCAATTTAAAATATTATAATAAAAATTTTACAATAAATTTATAAAATTTTAACTGTAAAAAATTTCTAAACTTGAATTAATACCGTATGTAATGATAGAGAATTATAAATATTTAATTCAGGGTTAATAATAAATAATAAAAATAAAGATTTTTCAAATTTCCATTTCTTTATTAATTAGCTTTTAATATCTTTTAAAAAACAAACAATACAACTTTTTCTTTGGGTAGTCTCATTCCAACAATTTATTATGGTGTATATTCAATAAATTGGTGGACTTTTATTAGTAGAAAAATTCTTAATAAAAAGAAACAAATATGTATACCCATAAAACTAAATATGAAAGTTCAATTAAAACTTAACAAGACCAAATTTATTATCTGTAATGTTAGTGCAGAAAATAGCATTAAATCAGATTATATCTGTGAACCTGATATAACTGCAAAAGTTTATCTCTCTGCTTCAGAAACTGTAAACAAATCTTATAACAATCTTTTCAATAATAAAACACAATGTTCAAGACCCTCAATTTTAGGATTTGATAATAAAAATATTACTTAAAAACTATTATTTGATATTTATTTTATCCTTTTAAAATAACAGTTGATAAATTACTATTCTAATTATAAAGTTAGGTAATTTAAATGACAATAATATAATTGAGTATTAATCAAGTTTTATGTTCAAATATCAAGACAAGTAGTCTTTTTATACAAAAAATCAAATATAAAAAATATTATATAGAGATATTTCAAAAGAAAAAAGAATTGCATACTATAGTAGTATCTCACTAACTAAAGTTTGAAAAAAATAAGGATATTGAAAATTATAATAGTGACGTTTTATTTGGGATCAAATATCCTGCTATAATCAATACATTAAAAATTATGCAAAATCACCAATATGTAGTATGAATAAATAGAATAATATTGAAATAGTAATTTAAGCATTCAAATAGCATCTAAAATATCAAATTGCTATTTTTGATCTTAATTAGTATAAGTTTTTATTGGATAGAAAGAATAAAAATCAAATATTATAGAATTTATGATATATCTTAAATCGCTATATCTAATAAATTACAAATTTAATAATTGAAAATTACGTATTTAAAATAAGATAATAAAAGTATAAGTTATATGAATATAACGCTTTATAAAAAGCAAAATCAAAAGTAATTTTTTAGAATTAATTATTTTTAATAATAGTTTTATAAAATTCAATCTGATATAGATACTTTTTTTATTATAGCCTGAATTTTGAATGTATATGATAAATTTTAATAGTAATAATACTATACTTTTATACTTATTCAATAAAAATTTGCTAAATAGTATTTATAATAATAAGGTTAAAATTTATAAAAGAAATAATCAATTGAAATAATTATTAATAAATTTTGAGAATGTTTTAAAGAAGTAATCAAAGTTAATAAATGTGAATTAGATAGAAAATAATAAGTTCTTTTTATTATAATAAAAAAATTTGAATTTAGAAAAATATAAAAAAATTGCAGATTTAATTATTTCATAAATATTATAATTTCTTTTTAGTTTTAAATAATTTAATTAATATCTTAACAAAATATAGTCATATAAATAATCTAAGATATCCTATAAAAATTAAATTAATTATAATACAAAATTGTATTTTTGAAATAAAAAATAGAAAATTTGAATGCTTATTTCTAATAAAGAAAATGTTACGATAAGCTCTAAAAAAATAATAAAAAACTCTATTGTAAAAATTTGAAGCAATTTATTCTAATAGAATAAAGAAAACCTCTTTTATGATATATTTAATAAGTAGTCAATATGTATATTAAAAAGATTTAAATAAACTATATAATATTTGCAATGAATATTATTATAAAGTATTTGATATATTAATTAATTTAATATAATTATATATAAAAAAGGAATTACAGATATATAATGAAAATATTATATAATAAAATTTTATTTATTATTTTTAAAAATTGTAAATAAATATTATTTTTTATTTTTAAAAAAAAAAAAATCTCAAAATTCAATAATTTACTAATAAGTAAATTTTAAAAACTATGATATTATCTAAAATATGATTTTAAAAAATAAACTTATTGTAAATGAAAATGATATAATATTATTAGGGTTGTTGTAAGTTATGTTATAATGGTAAGTTACAATATAAGTTACATGTAAGTTACATATGACTGTGATAAGTTACATTTATTATATATGTAATGCAGGTCAAAATTTAGATAAATCTGGTCAAATTTTTCAAATTTAAAATTAATACTATATATTATAATATGCAAAAATGAATATTATTTATTATAAAATATAAGATATACAATTAATATGCTATTCAAAATCTAATTCTTTATAATCAAATAAAAATGAATCCTCCTAATTATGTTCTTCTAAATCATCTATTAATATTGTATCATTTGAATTATTATTGATTTCTATTTCAACATTTTTTTTTTCAAACTTTTTAACTGATAATGATCATTGCAATTTTCACAAAATTTTAAGATTCCAATATATAAACACAATTTTTTCTACTCTTTCATTATGTAATTGATTGCATAATTTAGTATAGATAAAACTAAAAGCTGACCAATTTTGCTTATTAGCAGCTAAGGTTACAGGTATCAAAAGAATTTTAAAAGCCACTTGACTTAATATTAGATATTGTGCCTTTAATAAATTCCACCAATTTATTGGCTTTTCTTTTATATTACCCCACAAATATCTTTTTGCAAATCCACCTGTTTGGCTAACATATTCTACTAATTCATTTAATACTTGACTAGCATTTTCTTCTCTCACAAGTCTAATAATTTCTTCTTCAATAATATTATCCCATTGTTATACATCAAGCATTCTACTTTTATATTGTGGATCTAATTTATATGCAACTATAATTGCAGGATTATACATAAAGTTATTCTAACATATTTTGCCAAAATCAATTATATCATCTTGAACTTGTTTTGGAATAATTGCATTGTTTTTAATTTCAGATTCCAATTCTTGTAATTTAATAAATGCTGATGAAAGAAATAGTTTATCACTTTCAAGTTAATTAATAAAGATAACAAAGGATTTTAATAGGTTATATAAATCCTTTAAATCTTTCCAAAAACTTTTACTACTAAGATTAAGTATAATATTTTTATTAATTTCTATTTTTTCAGTCAAAATAGATCGCAAAGCTGCTTTAGTTTAAAAAATATGATCAATATAATAAAAAGCTGATCCCCATCATGTATCAATAATTAATACTAAAGCAATTATATATCCATACTTTTCTAATTGAAGCCAATGAAGTGTTGCTAAAAGAATTTGATGATTATGAAAATATTATACAACTTTCTTTTCTTTTTTTAAAATTGATTTAGCCCAATCAATTTTTAAAATATCTTTTATCCAAAGATTAATACTATGTGCCTAACAACTAAGAAAAACTTTATTAGGATATTCAGTTTTAAGAATCCTTTATGCAGCTTTTATATTAGGAGCATTATCAGTAATGACAGCTACAAATTTATTAACGCCTGCTTGTTCCATTGTAAGTTTTATACCCTGTGCAATATTTTCTGCAGAATGACGTTCTTCTTTGGTAGGAATTGACTTATAAAAAATAGGTTTCAGTGTAGTAATCATATAATTAATAATAGGATCTTTATTAATATTAGACCACCCATCAGTTGTGAGACAAAAATATTGTGTTTTGTTAAGTAAATGATTTGTAACAGTCCTGATATCCTTACATTCTTGATCAAGAAGAGTGGTTGAAAGGCTTTGACGAGTAGGTAATTTGAATAAAGGACAAGCTTTTGCAAAAAAAACTTTTATATCTTCATTTTTAAGAATGTTAAAAGGAATACCTGTAAAATAAATTGCACGTGCAAACAAACTTTCTAATTCCTTTTGGTCAGCTGCTGTCATTTTAGTAATAAAACTATTTATTGTTATTTGTTGTCATTTAAAAGTTTGTTCAGGTGAAGGAGTAGGTGTTTCTGTTATATTAGCTAAAAGAGCCTGCAACCAGTGTTGGCACATGGACTGGAACGTTCCACTGGAATTGATCCACTGGATCAATTCCATTCTATTGGACGTTATAATACTGGACATAAAGCT